GTCCTTACTATATAAATCTGAATCAGTTGCACGTCGCAAAGCAACTTTCATGAAGCGCGCCAACCGTGATACTGACTAAAACCATCTACATCCATATCTTACAAATTAAAGACCCAGTTGAGTAATTTGCTACAGTTGGAAATTGTATCATTTGTAAAAATTTGATCTTGCCTGTTAACTGGCATGTCTCATGTAACAAACTGTTATTTGAGATTTAAAACCTATTAGTGAAGTCGGTCGTTAGAATTCGCTGGGAGAACTCCAACTACTGCGCCAGTATCGACGAGGTAGCGAACTCTCGTTATCACATCTGTGACGTATAACAGACGGCTATGTTCGCCGGCTACGGTTGCCGTTAACGCGTTCCAGCTTGGAAGTGTCCCGAATCGTTTTTCGTGTCGATCGATTTTGAGTTGGGAAAATTGCAGGGTTTTCTTCAATTTGGAGATTTTCCGTACTGGTTATGATACTAGCATCAGTTGGTGTCATCCGTCTCTCGCAGTCTGGTGACAGATTGCTCACGTGAAGTGCTCCTTCGCGAGGTATGTGACCGTTTGCGGTCATTACGAAATCGAAGGTAACGGGTCAGCGTATGACGTAGTTCCGTAACATTCTGTGTCGCTTGAGACTTTTCTTTGACTGAAAGAACCTCGACGTTAGCAGGTTCTGTGATTTCGAGGATACGGTCGGCAGATGCAGCCAGCTCGTCTACGGCGTTGTTTTGAAACAAGACCAGCACAGCTTGCACCTTTCGAAGAAATTTAGATAAGAAAAGTTGTTTGGACAGGCCATCATCGAAGGTTCTTTGGCCGATAACTTCTCTCATTCTTTGTAACATGTCTGTCTCAGAACCGTGTTGCAGGTCGATGTTGTTCAGTAGTTGGTCTAACCTTTGTCGATCGGTTAGGTCTCCGCGTTTTAGAATAGATCGTTCTAGAGTTTTGTAAGGTCCCGGAACATCACTAGTAAACATACTAGATGTTATGTACCTGTTAAATTTGCGTGGTAGTGCCTTGACTACTGCGAGGAATTGTGCACGTGTGTCGTTTCTGCCATATTCGCGGAAGTCAGCTTCTGCGTAGCAAAACCAGACTTCGATGTTGTCTGGCTATAAGGGCATTAATTGAAATGAAAGCGGAGTCATAATGTCGAACTTAACTGCCTTAGATGTCTGTGAATTACAAGAATGAACGAGGAAAAAAATATCCCAAAGTACGAAAAAACATTACAATATATAAAAATTAAAATACAGCAATGATATATGGCATACCAAAAAGGAACAGACTCACAGTTTGCGATTTGGTGTACCAGATCACGTCTGGCTCACCAATGAAGATGTCACAGATATTCGGAGTTTGACAACGCTTTAACCAGTAACACTTTCTAATATGAAGCGCACCCACCAAGTAAAATCAAAAGACTGAAGCGAGGAGATCGAAGATATATTTGATAAGCTATCAATACATCGAGGATCGTTTGCACTAATCTGTCTAGCGATTGCAGTAGATGTTAAACACGACGTTCCCACACGTGATCTGGTGCGGATGCATGACCGAGCGCCTTCAGCTAGATAAGTCCTTTAAAACTAATATGGTCAGCATCCAACGTCGACAACTTACAGAGCTATTTATTTTGGAGATTTGTTTACCTCTATAATAGTAATACGCAAGGTTACCAGTGACACACCAAAAAGAATTACACTACAAATTATTATAATGAACAAGCGTTTCGCAAGCTGGATTGACTTTGATAGCGCGGTAAAGGAGTTCCAAAAAGTATGGAAGAATAATTTTGTACCTCCTCAGACTCCCCGTACTCATTATATCTACACAAAAAAACAAATTGATTAAGGCTATCAGGTTCAAATACCTGTTTATGACGTTTCACATCACATTTGGTCATAAGCGTAAAGCAGGTCTGACAATAAATCAATAACCATGAGAACTTAAACTAATGTGTGACGTTTAAGGTCTAAGTTGTTAACTACCAACCAAGTGTTCACGTAAGATTGGAAGACCAAAGATATGTCATCAAATTATACAAGATGCCTCACATTCATCCTTGTAGTAGTTCATGGATGGTTTGTGATCCATGGACCAGGAGACTGTCGTCAGAAGAAAAAGTGAAGCCTGTTATATTGCAGTCCCAATCAACAGATGAAGTAATAGAAAGTATCTCACTTAACCTCTCTGTCGCAACATATTGGTTACTTGCTTTCGCGTAAAACAACCTGAGATATACTTCTATACACCTACCTGTGGAGAGATGAGCTCCCATAGTCTTCACATCAGCAGTAGTGACCTGCCTACCAGTTCTTTCCTTGATACTTTCTATTACTACATCTGTTGATTGAGACTGCAATAGAACAGGCTTCACTTTTTCTTCTGACGACAATCTCCTGGTCCATGGATCACAGGCCATCCATGAACTACTACAAGGATGATTGTGAAGAATCTTGTATAATTCCCCAAACTTGGTTAATTAGGAATTTCTGTAGTGGACTTCAACGCCTTTGTTTGATTTTTTGGACAAGGTCCAAGAAAACAACGTAACAAAAATAAACTTTAAATTTATAGATACGCAAAGTTTGTGTTGATCGCTGTTAAATGCAAAGGTTAGGCGAAATGTCAAGTAACCAGTAGGTCCTAAATATTTGTAGTCACTTAATCGCCAAATAAAAAGACATGGACGGCTTGCATAAATGTATATACAAGGCTTTCAAATGGAGTCCAATGAAATCGTCTAGGAAAAGTGTTGAAGATACAATAATAGCCTAAAGATACAGTAAGTATGGTGCTTCACAGCGCATACATCCGTTGCTCAACATGCTAACTCCATTTGTACAACCAAAAGTCTTATACGAACTTAGAAAGATTTGTTTTGTTTACGTCGAATATGAAAATGGCAACTAGTTGTTCACGGTTGACTGCGGAAACATTATGAAGTGGATATGAGCACAATTGTAGAATAATGGTTACGTACCAATATCCCTGCCGCCATATACTACTGGCATATGTTAAAAGACGAACTATAACAGGTAAGGTTAGTCAGCTATGAAATATTAGCCGTATAGCTCCTCAAATTCCTAAGCATTGCAGTAAACGGAAGTTAGATAATATACACAACATCCAAAATAAGAACAATGTCACTACCCAGACGGAGTGAAGAGTATATACCGATTCTACGACGCAAGAGACCTTACAGACAACACATTATTGAGAAATATGGTGAACGATTCGCGATGCAAGTTGAGAGAAAAGTCAGCCATTCCTATTTAGGAATAATCAATAACCAGACAAGACTGCAGTTTCTCAATCGCTAATCTTTCTGAAATGAGGTTTGCAATCTAACAAAGTGTGAAGACGTTTGCGATAAAAAGTTTCTTGTGGTTTTATTTTTAAGTTCACTATATTAACAGCTTGTGTTTCATATGTCATTCTTCCTTTACCAGTAGCAATAATGAATCAATAAACTTCTGCACAACTTTTATTCTCGTCTTCGTAGTTTCATTGGGAGGTATACCAATAATTCTAACGACTAACTGTTCGTGTTCGTATATTTCTGAGTCAAATCAAGAGCGTAGTGCTAGATAGCTTTTATGCTTTGACTTAGTGAACATTTGCAATACATTGCTTGAGATTGATTTTAAAAATTATTCAATGTGCAACCATACAGTTAATATGAGATTATGTTTAGGTTAATTACAAAAAATACCTGCTCTACAGCAGATTTTGTGCTAATTAACCGGTTAATCAACAAACAGATTTTTATAGTGCATGATATAATTCAGTACAGTCAATGGCGTCCGTGTATCTAGATGATATTGTCCCCCTAACTCCCGAATTTAAGTTTGTAAACAGAAGTGATAAGGAATCACTGTATTATAGTTAGTAACAGTTCATGATCAAAACCCTAACCCTAATTCATAATCCTAGTATATAACTTTAAATTAACTACAACCTAACACCAAGCTCTTTGCATTATAACCGACGTTAGTTGGTGACGAAAATCCCATAGGGTTATAACTTTTACTTTCAACACCAACACAACTCCTAATATCTAGGCTTAGTTTTTTTTCAATATCGTAATTAATAATTTAGCATGTAAGAAGTGACAAATAATGTTAAAACCACTATTCCACTGTAATTTTATTGCTTTTCATTAGTAATTTCTTGTAACTACGCAGTGTTTGAATAGCTTCAAATTATGATCGAGTTCCATATTAGCACAGTAAAAGAGAAAATTATTAAAATGAGAATCGAAGGAATATTAATAATGATGATAGTGGAATAATAAAAGTAACAAAAATATACTATGAACTATGCGATTACTCAATTTTTACCATGTTGATGTACTTAAAATACATGATGATAAAGCCAAACTACTGAAGTAATAAAACCAGGTAAAAGTTTCAATCAGTGTAACAACCATGAAAAATAAAGTTCCTAAAACATTGAACTACACCATTACAGAAAATATATCTGTTATTTATTTAAAAAAATAGTAAGCATTAAAAAAAGCATCTTAATCATTTATTCTGTTGCACCAATGAGCGAAAATGAATGAAGTTCCCATATTTGTTTGAAAAGTTTACGAAAGCGTGCTTACTACGAAAAGATATCTGTTAGACAAAAGGATTCGCATGAATTTAGAAAATAATGGCCATTTTGAAATATGCTAATAATACTGAGTAAAATAACTAAATACACATTATTATGGATTATTAACAGAAATAATTCGGAGGGCTTTCAGAAACAAAGTAAGCAAAGGGAATAGTCTCAATATTATTGTTGATTACACCAAAACATCTAAAAATTGGTACGATACAGTGAAATATTAAGTCAATTAGATTGATATTTACACTATACTTATCAATCAAATCTTATTGAAATTAAAGAATTACGGTAATAATACCCTGATTACGATCTACAAATAAACTAGTGCACCGTCGAAAAATTCAGTTTCAACAGTAGGATTTCCCTAGAAATATCTATATTTAATGCACTGCAGAATGGTTTCAATTATGCACTTTTACATGTAATCAAAGAAAAACCGTTAAAAGATAATTCTAGACGAACACTAATTTCATACACAACCATCACGTCATAGATAGATACAAAGAAATGTTATAAATATAATATTTATCTTATTAGTAGGATGAATAAATGATAGAAACACATGTAGATAAATCCATATTATCTTAGTTTCCGACAGATGATGAATTCAAAAATGATGTTCGATTAACTGCGCTACCACCGAATTCTACAGCTTGTGAAGTTGCCTGACGTAGTAAAGATAACTGGTCCATTGAATTAGCCAGAAGATTATGTAAAGTGGTTAATTCCATATTAGTCAATTGACTAACTCGTGCTGTCGACGACCCACTAGAGAGGAAACCATTAACAGACGATAACAATTTCCCAACACGAATATCCCATACATCACGAACAATGTTGCGAATACTTTCAGGACTAAAATAATAATAATTATTATAAAAGTATGTCCATAAACCAGACAGTGTTTGAAGCATGATTTAAGAAACACAAAATGAGATGGGATCTAACATGAAAGGCTGATCACTAATTTTTCTAAAGCAAAAGTGCTTAAATTTCACAATAGCCACTTTTAAAAACAAGAATACAGACAAAATACTGTACAAAACACATTACTGAAGTAGATGTGTAATACATATCAAATATACTTAGTTTTACTACGATAAACTAGGGTATATATATATTAGCAAAACAGTTTTTTCACTGACTTCGGTATATCTTCGGCTGCATGTTGAAGAAGAAGTGTACTAATTTCAATATGTTGAGAATGAGGAGGAGAAGTACAACCGGAGTCATTCTCTTCAGCTTCTTTACACTCATTTAACTTCTCCAACGTTAACCACGCTGGTGGCATAATACGACACTTTTGCTGCCCTCTCAGAAAAAGAGCAACCCAAAGAGGGACAACAGTTGGCACATTTGGGAAAAAAGGACCAATCTATTGGATTAAAAATTAAATTGTTTTGTAATGGTTAATATTACTTAACATGTTAACTGTAAGTTAGGTCAGAAATAAAGTTAAGAGTACACGACACTAATAATATGATCGAGCAGATTCCGTACGGTTGTAGTATGTGCTACCGATGTCCACAGATATAAGTGGTGTGTATCATCAGTCGAAAGTGGAATGCCTGGCGGCAGAAGGTTGAGAAAATCGAAGAGAAGAAAACGAGAACGGAAAATGATTGGTATGGGAATGAATGAACAATAAAGTCTAAGACAATTGATGGACATTCTGCAAATTAATTATTTACTGTATGGTTCTCAAACTTTACTGAGAGATTATGTAATTTCGTATTCAAATACGTTTGGTGGCGCTGCTCTATGTTCTCGTTCACTACACGGTTATCAGAAAGAGATTAATACTGCCAATACATGTAGCGATAGAAAGTATGATTGAAATCCTGAGAGCATTATGTCTCAATAAATCACGCAATGTCGAACAACAAACCCTAACCTTTGACTGTAAAGAATATATTTAATAAAAATACACCACTCATATAGATATCTTTTTTCTTTAATGATTCTCGATTTACTGTAAATGGTTGTAACTTGAACAGAAGTCATACTGAATGAATACATAGCATAGACTTTCGAAATATAACCGAATATTATACTGAACAACCGTCATACTGAATTAATTTATAATTTCACCCCTGACTGTTTCTTATCAGCTAATACGTATCTTACAAAATTAAAGGTTACTGAGTCACTTACTACTACACGTAACGTGATGAAAACGAAGGCGTTAAATTAACACTTGTCTAAACCTAACTAGTGTGATCAATAAATATAAAGTACAAAATTTTTAAACACTTAAGCTTTACACTACAGAAGTATTATAAATGAAGTCCAACATTCTTAGCGTTAACATTCAGTTACCGGTACACAAAATAATGATCCTGAGTTGAACTCGATTCAACAAGCATACTTCAACTTAGTAAGAACAAGCAACGGACAAATTACTAAATCGCGCTTTACAGTTCTTACTGTTTTTTCCATTATTTTAAGAATATTCACAAAAATATGAGTCTCAGTAAGCTCACTAATTCATATATACATGTGAAATGTGAGGAGCTAACTTCAATGAAGTCGAAAAAGGCAATAGTAATAATAAGTCATTTATCAACAGAATCTGGCACAAAAGTGCATTAACCCAATTTTCTACACCTTAAATCAGCACAATGATAGGGAATTAATAAATTGGAAATTAAAGGATTCGAATTAATATAATTGATAGTGGAAGGCAAAACACTGGAAATAAATAGTTCAGAAATATGGAAAATTAGAGAACGGAAAGTATGGGATAGTATTAGAAATTAATATTTAGAGTAAGATACGAACTTTAAGTAAAACACTAAAATGGATCATCGGAATATAAGCTGACTGATAACCACTAAGTTTTTTTTAAGTAACATTACATACGATAATTAAGTTTTTATTCATATTTTATAAGACACAACTAGCAAAACGACAAACCATAAGTTCTCAACGGTGAAGTCAATGATTAACAAGAAAATGTCTTAGAAATCTAATATTTGAAGTTTACATAAACTGTAAAACTTACAGTAGTGTTGAGCAGCTTAATAGCATCAAGTTTAAACTTAGGTACTATGGTCAATCCTTCCTCTTCTGAAAGAAATTCAAGCTCTGCCGGATTCATTTAAGTAGATGAATTATGTCTAAATGGAAATTATATATATATATATATACCAAGAAACTGATTGCAGATATAAAACGACACGTAACAAATGGTTTGTATGACATGTACGCATAAAATATATCAGAAAGCTGATGAATAAAAAATTACATCGATTACTAAACAGTACGTAAAAGACCGCACCACCCAGTTCACTACGAAGAAGCTACTAGTCTTCCGTTTAGAAGTATTTACCGGCAATAAAACATTACTGCTCAGTCTTACAAATAAATTAAGGAAAATGATGCAGAAAATAAGTACGGCAGCGAAAAAATAAATTTGCACAACATGAAATTAAAACAAATGATTATCATCTAAAGACTACAACTTGTATTACGAGGATTTCAAACAGCTTTAGACTGCTATCTGCTCTGACTGGTTTCTCAACTTACATACACACGTTCATAAAGTTTGCTTTTCGATTGAACACCAACAAGTCATGTCAACTGTCACAAAATGGTTACTAGCTAGTAAAATCCAACGTGTCACTATTTAACTGGTTCTACAACAATATCATCACTAACTAAATAGCAAATCAAGTAGGGCATGCATATTAAACTATCAACGCTTACAGTCTATATCTGTGAGTTCAAGGATACTGGTGTTAGGTATTTTAAAATCAGGTAGCCCTGGCAGTCTACTCTCGTACAGTATCCAAAGTACAAGGAGGCGCCAAATACATATGCGCCACACAAAATTTTATTTGTCTGTAGGCTGTGATAGTGCCCGGGTGCCCGGGGGCCGAATCCCGAGCCTTCGACCTGAATGTCTGACCAACAAGGCAGTGGAGCATCGTAAGCAGATGCAGTCACACGTAGCCAGTGACCAACGATTAGTTCATACACCATTTGTTTCTTTCAGGATACTGGAGCCCATGTGCACCATTGGTTTGGGATCCAGTTAAAGCGCCGTACATTCGCTTTTCGTTTTCTCATTTTCGTAAACAACACCCCTGCCACGAGAAGGCAGTGAGCAGGACTTCCCTGGCAGAGGCTATATACGCGTGACCATGAGGGAGAGCGGACTCTCCCCACTCTCGGCCGTACCAGGGCATTTGGGGGCGGCAAAAGCTAAACGAGCTTCTTATGAAGAAAGTAAAGGAAGGCTACAGCAGGGTCGCCACTGGCTTCTATTCTGAGACTTATCTGATAACGTCTCTAGCCACTGTGTTACACCATCTCTCGGACCCCAGCCAGAGAGTCGTGAAGGACCAACACAAGCCAGCCTTTTGTAGCTTTCTTTCATACCACGACACCATGTCATAAACTGACCACCTCTCCGCTTTTTCCAACCAGTCCCAGCGTCCGCAAATAATGCACGACGAGGAATTCTCTGGGACAACATTCGTAGAACATGTCCAAGCCACCGAAGTCGGTGTCTCAAGATGGCGACACCAATTTCATTATCGTCTCTGTGCCCAAACACACGATGCCAAACCTCTTCATTACTAACATGGTGTTGCCACTGAATGTCAGCGATACTTCGGAGACAACGATGATCGAATACAGAGAGTCGTCTAACATCCTCAACTCGGAGAGGCCAGGTTTCACAAGCATAGAGCAAAACTGCTCTCACCGACGCGTTGTAGATTCGACCTTTTACAGCCAGACTAACATCACGAAGGCGCCAAAGATGGCCCAGATTGGCATAAGCCGCTCTGGCTTTCACTATACGTGCATTGATCTCATCACTCACGCCACCACCAGCACTTATGCAGCTACCCAGATACACGAACTTCTCGATTACTTCTATCTGCTCACCATCCAGAGTGAGTACAGGATTAGAATCCTGCCAGTCTTGTAGAAGAACTTTGCACTTCGAGGGTGCAAAGCACATACCATACCTACGGACATTGATTGCCAACTGATTAAGTGCGGGTTGCATGGGTTGGAAATTATCGCAAAGTAAGACAATTTCATCCCCATACTCAAGGTCAAGAAGTCTTTCTCCAGGCAAAAGACCCACACCACCATTACTTACATCCATCAGAGCTGTTTCCAGAAAGTCATCGATGGCAAAGTTGAAGAGGAATGGTGAGATTGGGCAACCCTGCCTAACCCCACTGCTCGAATGGAACAATGGAGAAAGGTGGTTGTATGCCATCACTCTGCCTGAGGAGTTTGTACATAGGACTTTTAAGATGTTAATAAATTTCTCAGGCACACACTTCTTCAATGGACAATCCCAGAGAACAGTTCTGTCCAACGAATCGAAGGCAGCCCTTATGTCAAGAAACACTACGATTGCTGGCCTTTGATAAGTATGGCTGTGTTCTAAAATTTGGCGGAGGGTGAAGATATGATCAATACGTCCTCGACCAGAACGAAACCCAGCCTGCTCCTAGCGAGTCAATCCTTCTCGGGTTTTGAACAACCTACGAATTACAACGGAAGCCAATAGCTTGGACGCAATCGGAAATAGACTTATTCCCCGATAGTTGTTACAGGAACGACGTGAACCCTTTTTAAAGATAGACACAACTATCGACTCATTCCATGACGTTGGTACACTCTCTAGTTCCTAGATCTTTGTAAACAACGTCGTCAGTCCCTTAGTCAGAAAGACACCAACATCTTTAAAAAGAGCCGGAGGTAAGTCATATGGGCCTGGTGATTTGTAAAGTTTCAAGAGTTGGAGTCCTTTGCAGACTTCCGCCTCATTTGGTGGATCAGTCGTCACCGGCCATGAAGGGTAGGACAGTCTGACCGACGTTGCCGGAGCAGCAGGCTAGTTGAACTGCCCTTCGAAGAATTCTGCCCATCGTCCAAGACGTCGATAGATTTTAGTGATAGGCATCCTGTCATCCTCGCAGATTGTTTCGCTCACACCAGACTTCTTGCTGCCAGTGGCTCGGATGAGTTGGAAGAGCTTCCGGTAATTACCAGATTCAGCTGCTGCTTCCAACTCACTGGCACGCTCCGACCACCATGCTTCTCGGTCCTTACTCAAGCTTCGTTTAACTTCATTACGCAACATCCTTCGTTTGTGGAATGGTAGCTAGCCTAGAAGTTAGCTCGGTTCGGTACTTACTAGCAACAGAAGTTGCAGCCAGCTTGCTAACATCAATCCTTTGGTGGCGGTCACTTCGTTATCCACTGAAAAGTAAGGTAAGATTGGCGCAGACCAGGGCATGATCAGATTCCAGATAGGTACTCCAAAAAGAGCGGCAATCTTGTACACAACCACGCCAGCGGTAGTTGATCGCGATGTGATCAATCTGAGTCCAGGTTTGAGATGCAGAAGGGGGAAGCCAGGTGGCACATCGGTGATGACTGTACCGAAAGTTAGTGCTAGCCAGAAACAGGTTGTGGTCTGTGCATAGTTGCAGTAGACGTTCCCCGTCCTGCGACCAACGAGTCCCCATCGGCCACCTAAACGACTCTCTTCTGTGCCTAGACGCCCGACCTGAGCATTCAAGTCTCCAGCTAGTACTACAATATCTGTCGAACGCACTTTCTGGAGAACAGTTAACTGGTGGTAGAATTCATCCTTGATTGCATCCGGGCTGCAATCTGTCGGGGCATAGGCGGAGATGACGAAAAGACATCGTTTCTCACGCCGATTTCTCACTTTGATGGAGCTTTCTAATCTAACAGCACATAACAGACTGTTAATTGGATCCAATCGATTAGTGCTGCCTCAACTCTAGCGCTTAGTGCGACACCAACGCCAGCAAGACCAGACGAAGATGCCACAGGGTCCCTGGATAAACACACGTAAAACAAGCTTTTTGAAGCGACAAATGGGAAGCGAATTTGTAGTACTTTACTAGATTCTTGAATACGGGTCTCGGATAGACAACAGACATCGATATTAAGACTTTCTAAAGACATAGCCAACCCTATCTGTTGCCCAATCTGCATTAGTGTGCGAACGTTGAAGGCAGCCAGTTTGAATGGTGCACGTGGTTTCATAAAAACTGCTTCAGTACTCGTATTCGGTGGTAACATACAATTTCCAACCAGGCAGTGACTCAAGAGCGTTTAGATAAAGCCGAATTTTCACCATAGGCGAGCTGTTGTATAAGTAGAAAAATAAGGATGGACAGAGTGGAAATAAAAGAGAGTGAATAGATGATGTGGTAAATAATAATAATAATAATAATAATAATAATAATAATAATAATAACAATAACAATAATAATAATAATAATAATAATAATAATAATAATAGTGGTGCGAGTCATTTCAGTGTAAATCGGAGCGAAAAGAATATTTACCATAAGTAAATAGTTCATCATGTTTTAGTGCGTAGGCTGGGATACTGCCCGGGTGCCCAGACCGAAGCAGGTGGTTTTCTCAGGAGGCCACACCCCGAGCCTTTGACCTAGAGGTCTAGTCCACAAGGCAATGGAGTATCGTGAGGAGATGCAGTGCCACGGAAGCCGGTGACCAAAAATTGGCTCATACGCCATTTGTTCCCGCAGGATACTGGAGCCCATGTGCACCATTAATTTGGGATCTGGTTACAGCGCCGGACATTCGCTTTCGCTTTTCGTTCTCTCATTTTCGTAAACAACACCCCCGCCACGAGACGACTGTTAACGGGGACCCACTCTAATAGCGCCTGTTCCGCCCTCATGCTTAGTGCTATGCCTACACCTGCAAGTCCACGAGAACTAGCCGTCGGGTCGCCAAATACACGGAGGGTGTATCTCGTCGGCTCTCCGTTTTGTCGAGGTGAGGTCAAGTGAATGACCACACTAGGATCCTGTATGCGTGTTTCAGAGACACAGCATACATTAATTGTACGAGATTCTAGGGTTTTAGCCAAGGATGCCTGCTTACCGATTTGACATAGTGTGCGTACGTTGAAGGCTCCAGTGTGTAGATTGGAGCGAGGTTTCAGTAGACCTGGGACAGCGTTTCGCGCACTAGAATCGTTGGCTATGATGATACTTGAGGAGGAAACCAAAGGAGGAAGTTTAGGTTTGAAAGTCGATGTAGGAGGAATAATAGGAATTG